CAGCCCTCCACGATGCCCCCCTGCACGGCTCTGCTGGGCTGTTGGCCCTCGCAGGGGATCCCCATCCTACCCAGGTGCCTCCAAAAATAATTCCAGTATTTCAAATGAAGCCCTGGCTAAGCAAACCGGGGGGGAACCCCCCGGGGAATTGTGCACCTCGGAGAGGGGAGATGGAAATGTCAGGTTTCAGAGTGGTTGGTTTGCCTCCCGCAATAACCACGTTAACTGTTTGTTTGAGGAGAGAATCAGGATTTGGTCTCAAAATAACACGGGGAAGAGTGGAATGCAAAAATGAGTCATTTTTGCTAAAAATTGTTGTGTCTGGGTCTTTCAGCAGATCCTTTCTGGTTCTCTCTCCTCTCCTGCTTCCTCTCCCCCTTCTGCAGCAAACGTTTTGGGAACTGCAGGGAAATCCAGAGCCTGAATCTTTATTTGCTCAGGCCGTTCCACTTAAATCTGGATTGAACGTGGGTTACAGAGCAGGGCTGTTACTGCTGGCAGCGGGATCGCACCCACCGCAGGGTGTAGGGAGTAAGAGAAGTACAGCCCCGGCACGATTCCTGTTGGGATTTGTGATGCCAGCCCCAAAGCCACCCTGTGCCAGCCCCTGGGCAAGCGGCACCAGGAGCCCGGAGCCCCTTGACCACTGGAGGGAGCCCATATTGTGCCAGAATGCAACAGAAATACTACGGGGAAGACAAAAAATACTAAAATATGAAATATCAAATCATTGCAGTCAGAACAATGTGTCTTCTCCAGGTCAGACCGTGATCTATAGCCATGCAAAATGTTATAAAAATCAGATTTAAATGTCCCATTGTACTTCATTGGCACAAAGAAAGGAAAAATTATTAAGAAAAAGGAGCTTTTTTTTTTCCCCCACCACGTTTTGAATATCAGTCTGACACCTTTCAACAGGAGTGAATTCATGCACCACGATGGTGGCAGACCTGGCTTGGAGGGAAAATGCCCTTGTGCCATCCCAAGAGCTGGCACAGCTCCAGCTCGGTCTCCTTGCTTAAATGTAGGTCAGCACCCATGGACTCCTTCCCACACCTACCCTGGAGCCACAGCAGCTCCCACAGTGCTGCTTTCAAAAGAGATTTTTGCTCTCCTGATAAACCAACCACCCCAAAGAAGCAGAACAGGAGAAGCCACATGTCCTGCATAGGGGACAAGCATCCTCATCCTCACCACGTACATAAAGAGGCTGCCCTGCACCAAAAACTCTGCTTGGCAATCAAGCAGAGGAATGTTCCTGGTCCCTTAAATTATGTGTTGTGAACATGGAAATATTTGTAATTCAAAACACGCTTTTAACACACAAATATTTCTGGCTCCGCAGAGTGATGCCAAGTTGCTGGAGACCCTGAAATGTCAAAATGGAATAAAACTGAAAGTGATTTGTGTACTAATCTGTTTTCTTGGCCCTGGCAAAATTACCATCAAAAAGCATGATGTAACGGCAGCCACACAGACACGGGGATCTGTGTTTGATACCTGTGTTCTAAAATACCATCCTTAACAGGTAAAAATGTGTTCTAGTAAACCTTTTCTGTCTTACCTGAGTTGTTTTACCAGTAAATACAGGGCTTTATCTAATGGGAATTTTATTTCCCCCCCCTTGTTTTGTTCTCCCGCTGAGGTTTTGCCCTCCCACTCCCCTTGGGAGCTCACAGAGATCCTGGAAGCTCGCACAGATCCTGGGTGCATTTGCACCTCCAGCACCACGGGCTGAGGCTTTGTAGGAGCTGGTGACTGTTGTCACCACGTACACTTGTCCTCAGTAGCCCCCTTGGCCTGAGCTGACAGGACCCTGGTGGGGCACTGGCTTCTCCTTGAGCTGTGCTTCCCAGAGCTGCTCCGGGCAGCCACTGCTGCCTTTGAACCTTCTCCTTCCCCCCAGCGCTCAGGTAGTCTTTTCTTGTCACACATGAGTAAGAGCAGATGTGAGCTGGTGTGAAGGGGAGGAAAAGGGACATAGGATGCCAGCAGTTCAGTGCTCACAGAGCAGGAGGAATTCCTGTGCTTGCACCACTGCCTTGTAAACTTCCAATTTCCCAATCCGCCTGTGTCTCGGGGGAAGGGCTGTGGCCAAAATGTTCACAGGGTGCTGGGCATGCTGAATGGATGGGTATGAGCACAAAGAGGCAGGCACTCACACAGATACAGCCTTTTCTGTGCCGGGAGTGAGTGACAAAGCTAGGCTAAGTAGAGCTCTTCACACATTCAGGGCTGTGTTGGGGTGGCTCAACCACACCAAGGCAAAATATTCCTCC